GTGACAAAATGTGGGAAAGTTCAAGGGGGCCAAATATTTTTGCAAGCCACTGTAGCTTAACAACACAACCGCTATGACAATTTAACTTTTGTACCACCAAATATTTATATACTTAGATTTGGAAGTGTTTTCCTCTCCCGCTAAACCTCCATCGTTTTCAGAAAAAAATCTCCTGTATGACCCGCAATGAATCCTGGGATATGGTAGAACATAAAGACCCATCCTTAAAATTTGGGGAGAAGTAGGACGCATTTGTCGACACATTTGAAGGACTCTTTGAATTCGAACAGCCTTTGTCGCGTCGCTATGACTTTATTGCCTCCAAATACGGAGGATCGGAGCATCCTTCCCCTGAATTACGACACAGCTACAAATAAGAAAACTGAGAACACACTGAGACCACAGCTGACACGAATAACCATAACGAGACAGGGGAAGAGCAAACACAACATGACGCACACTGACAGGAGACTATCAAAGTAAAAAAGGAAGTACACAGGGACGTGGATTGGAGGGGGAGAGAGAACATGACGAGCTGGGGAACGTAGATAAACATGACGGAATAAAACACAAGGAGGGGAAGCAAGGCGCATGAACACACCACTATACAAACCCAGACACACAGAGGGCAAAGACACAATGGGAAATCTAATAAACAATACCAAACAGAATAACCTAGAAACCGTAGAATAACAGTAACAAGTGGACTTAAACATAATAGAGAATGACGATAAAAAATCCGCGAAAATCCAAAACACTGGGTCAAAGGACCCAGGACCATGACAGTTAAATCATTGTAATTATAAATAGTATCCCAAGATCTAATATATAATTAAAACCTTGCATTGATGTGCATGTCTGTGCATGTGTTTCTACTCAAATGTTTTGAAGACCTGCTTGCTTTGAATGATCTATGCAGAAACTCAGTATTTGATGGATTTACCTCAAAAGGTTTCATTCTTTTCATTAAATTCATTTTAATTTAATTGTTGACCTTTTGATAAAATGCTGTTACTAATTAAAATTACTCCTGTTCACAAAAAACAAAAAGAAAAAAAAAGAATTATATGTAAACATTTCATATTTAAATTCATATATACCCACGTTTCTCATGTTTGATGTTTTTAAATGTGCACTAGTTGTCTCACACAAACATACATAGAATCACTTTGTTTTTAATGATTCAGCAAAACGTACGATGTTTGTTTATTTTCAAAGTTAAAATGGGAATGTGCTGTTCCTCTCTGTTTTAAAAAATGAAATGATTGGTTTCCTAAAAATGATTTGAAGCATATGCAACAATCTTTTTCAGTCTTAAACAGATCAAGACATGCAGTGATGCCTACAGACTAATCCTGAAAGGAATCAGTGGTCGAAGCTTGGCTCTACTCAGACTTCCTGAATCTGTTCCAGAACATATAAAGACACAAAGACAGTCTTAACTCTAATGTCAAGCTTTGGTTTATAGATAAGGTCTTTGGAAACTAATGAACTTCTCTTCAGTGGATGGAGTACAGGACTGAGGTAAAACACCTCGTCATTTCCACTTCAGACACTCCTATATGCCTTTACTTCCTGGATGACTCCTATGAACCAGTGAGTGTATCAGTATGGAAATGTTGACTTTTCTACAGTGTGAAACGTTCAGCTCACCCAGCTAAAGGACACTTTACACTTCAGTTTTGATTTGTTACAGAGCAGAATCTTGTGAAACAGGTTTCATTGCACTGATTTCACACCCAAGGACCCACTGAGGA